TTGAACTGCATTGCACTACAGTCAATTCTATTCTATTGGGTTCAGTCAGTTTCAATTTTCGGTTCTCAACTCAAAACTGAATTTAAGAATGCAAAGTGTGTAAGAGAAAGTGATTGGCAACCAATACATTCAGTTCTTATTAATTGTAACTTAACAAGAACACATTCAACACCCCACTCCAACATCAAAAAAAAAAAAAGGGTAAACCATTTGTCACCTGAAAAGAAAAAGAACTCAGGAAGTAAACAATTACACACCTGAGAGAGATCAAGGTGGGAGTTAAAAGGGGAGAATGTTACATCCTTCTTTCACAATGTTGGCAGTCTCTCTCCAAACAACAGGAACTATATTGGCAGCAGGTCCCTTTAGCACACCTTTGCTCAATTGTATCAAGGCATCCTTCATCCTACGATATGTCACTTGCATCAACAAATTAATTTGAATTTTTTTATTCTCATAAGCTTAAATAAATTAGTACAAGTGTAAAACACGGTAATGAAATTGATTACAGAATCAATATCAAGGAAGGAAGTGTGGTCTGAGAATTCTACACTAGTTCCAATACATTCAGGCTTGCAAAGATGTGTGTATAACAATTAAAGCCACTAAGAGAAGCAGAGAAGCTGTTGAAGAATTTTAATAGTAGACCTAGTTTGACACATTTTCTAGAGGGAAGGGACTGTTTAAATCTTCTTTTGGGATGTTATCAAAAGCAACAGTGATTAAGGAATCCTGTTCAACATGCACATGAAATCAGCAGCAGAAGAGTTCAGGGGAATCACACATAACTAGAAAAAACGAAATGAACTGAGAAACTCAAATATCTTTTAAAACCCACAATTACCTTTAGCCAGTAAACTACACCTCATCCAAGAGTTCCCTAATCAGCCATGTTTGGTTTTAATACAACTAATCATGGCTGCCAAACTGCATTGCAAAAAAAATAAAAAATTAAAACAATTTACAAATAGGAAGAATTAACCAAAAAGTCAATGGTGTTCTGCAACCACAAACACCTGAAGAGGGAAATTTATCATCTCCAATCCCCACTATACCAGAACTTATACCAGAGGCTGTCATGATCAGGCAGACAAAACACAGTAAGTTACTTTTTGTGCCATATATGATATTTTGTTTTTAGTTTTTCCCACTTTTTTTTTCTTTTTATTTTCACTAACAACGATACAAGTTATTTGATTAATCAACTGCATTTCACCCCAAAATTCCTATACATAGAATTACTAATCTGATATTTACAAGAAACACAAACTTCCATTGGAATTGCATCTTAACCAAACCCAACACACAAAATGCCAATACAATTGAGTTCAAAAAAATCCCAGGACCCAAAAGACCTAACTAAATAGACCATTTTAACAGCAACTGGGACTTCAAGATTCAGCTAAAAGATAAATAAATCATTTTGATATTTTTTGCAATTCAGATCCATGGCATCTTTAATAGCAAAACCTTGAGAAAGTTGTGCAATTATCAATTGGACTGATTCAAAACATTAATGATTGAAAACCCAAAACAATAGATTGGCAGCGCACTCTTACCAGTTACAGAAAATGATACAACTCACAATGCACTACAGATTGAGAATTACGGAGCCCCTCTTTTGAGAAGTGTCCAAATTCCTTGATGCCCATGAAGAGATAGAGGCGGACGTCTCAGCTTCCTGATTCAACGAAAATAAGTCAGTTAATTAATCCATATTTCGTCCATGTTCCTTTCTATCTCATTTTGTAGTTCATGAATTAACAATTTCTAGTCTAGAAATAAAACTAGACCAAAGCGAAGATGAACCTTTTCCACATCGATTAGAGGCGCCATGGTGAAGTTGACTGTTGCAGAGTGACAATAGGTGATTTCTTCTTCTTCTTCCTTGATTAAAGACAATTAGTACCACCGCCGAGTGAAATTACGGAAGGGAAGAAGGACATCCTTTGCATTGGGATGGTCCCACTCCAACGATTCCCACCACGATTCCCCCCATTCTTGTGGCCATACTTTGATTTGTTTGAGAGAAGGAGGAGGAGAAGGTTGTCCGTTATCAAGCAGGGAAAGATAAAGAGGGATCCTCCTTAGTCCCTGGCAATTCCAGATCCGCATCTCTTTCAGAGAATCACATACCATTACTGCCCTCCTGCTACAGATGCTCTTCAATGCGGGCAATTCTTTCAATTTCAAACTTTTTAATTTTGGAAGAATGAATTGGATGACCCCTTCTTTTTCTCCTCCTGCTTCTTCTGCATCCCATACTATTATTTCTTCCATCTGATCGCAATATCCAATGCGAATTTCTTCTAGACTTTGGAGATTCATCCAAAAGGAGAACAACTTCTTTATTTTATGACAGTTTCGAACACTCATTGTTTTAAGAGATGAAAAAGTGTCAGGTGGTAGTGGTGACTTGGTAATTGCCTCTGCTTCCAAAAGGGCTTCCAAGTTTTCCAAATTATAAAGGTCCAGAACCTCAAGCTTTTGGGCCAGTAGATTTATGGACGAGGAAAGAAAACACTTCACGCCACTGCAGTTCCGAATCCTGCAGCACTTCAATTCTTCTGCATCTTTAGTGGAAGAGATATCATTTAAGCTTCTTAGGTAGTTGCATCCATTAAGAACTAATTCTTGTACGGATGGTGGCAGCCAAGTATTCTCTATATCAATACTGGTGAACTCTAACATTTTAATACGCCCTTCTACTAATTTGGAAGGAAACGAATGATATCTTCCACAGAATTGTAGAAGGACACGCTCTGCATTAGGATGGTCCCACTCGAAAGATTTCCAGCATTCCTGTGGCCATACTACGATTTGTTTGAGGGAAGGAGGAGGAGATGGTTGTCCATTTTCAAGTTGGGGAAGATAAAGAGGGAACCTTCTTAGGCTATAGCAATTCCGAATTATAATCCATTCAAGAGAATCACATACCATTGCTGCCCTCTCCCTACAGATGCTCTTCAACTGGGGCAAATCTCCCAATTCTAACCTCTTCAGTTTTGGAAGGAGGAGTTGGATCATCCCTTCTGAATCCGATGCAACCGAAGATGAGAGTAGGTATTCCAGATTTTTACAGTCATGAATAATTAATTTCTTCAGTTTCTCAAAACAAGATATCATCGAAGTGTGCCATATGGTGTCAATATTCCCAATCGAGCACAATTGCAACTCCTCTAGCCTCTAGGTTTGATGAAAACACAACCTGCACAGATATAGTTCTTTTTATTACAAAAACTTATCATTTTGTCGATAAATAAGAAAAAGGATTATCAATTACATCTTGGGCTTCACCATACAAGTCAAAATGTGTCCTTAGGGTACTTTTGGTGGTAATTAAGAGGTTGGGGCATCACACCGGAATTTTAGACTGGAATCGGGGAGGTTTATTCCCTGATTTATAATCTATAATTTCATCTTAAATCATGTTGTTTGTTTTAGAGTTTTTTTATTTTCGATTAATTAAATATATATATTTTTTTGTGAAATTGTATAATAATTTCATTAGTTGAGGTTCTGTCTTGATTGGAAAAATAAATGTTAATGAAAATGTTTTTTTTTTTTAATTTTAATTTGCAAAATAAAGGAATCTATACACATGTGGTTTTGTTATATAGTAATTTAGAAATAGAAATAAAAATTTTAATATGACTAAATTATTATATATAGTAACAATTGCTAAAATGAACTGGTTCTAAGTTTTTCTAAGTGGGTGCTAGTAAAGTTGGGAAAATAGCCTACACATCATGACAATAAAAGCAAAAGGATTAGAACAATTATAGCTCCTAAAATTAAAGGTAAAATGCAATGGAATTGAGGAAATAATTACCTTTTCCACGAAGAGTAATGGTGTGCTGTATCCGACATTTGTACTTGTAAAAAATTTAATGAATCTCTCAAAATTTACGCAGTTCAATATTTGTAGTTGCTTTAAGGATGAGAATGCCACAGTATAATTTCCTGCGGAGAAATTGACAAGGTTTTGAAGGTCTTCTATCACTAGAAAAGTCAATTGAGGAAAAATTAAAATTTCTTTCTCTTCATCATTATTAGCCACAATAATCTCTCTCATCCTTGGGCATCTCTTTACTTGCAGATGTCTAAGATTCAACAATCCTGTTGCCATAGAAGATGAGAATAGGTATTCCAAATTGTCACAGCCATGAATGATCAACTTTGTCAATTTCTTAATACAAGAGGTCATTGAATTGTGCCATATGGTATTATCAACCATAATTGAGAACAATTGCAATTCTTCTAAGTTTGAAAGCACAACCTGCACAACAAGTAGTTCTTTTTATGAGGTAAAGGCCTATCATTTTGTTTATAGAAAAGAACAAGGATTGTCTTATATATGCGCCAATAATATAGTTACAATATCACGTATATAGAATTATAAGTTTATAAATTAAATGAGAAAAAACATATAATATTACTCATGAAACACTAAATAAAAAGAATTATTTATATAATAACACGTAATGATTACAAATTTAGAATGGCACATCATTTTAAATATATCATTTTCATATCTTATTCATCTTCATATTACTCATCTTCATATTACCTTCTTTATCAAAGATATTATGTTGAAATACACTTATTAAATGCACTTTTTAGTTTTTATTTTTGATAAATTAAATTTATTTAACAAATTTACTAATTTTCTTGTACTTTCATGAAGTTTAGTTACTGTATAATTTTTTATCTGATAAACTATTATATAAATATTCTACTCAATGGAAAGTACACAATTCAACCATATATTATTATTCTATTAATCTAACACCAACTCACCATAATAGTATAATACTCTACTATGAATAGAAAAATAGATAGAAATCTAAGTGGTGGCTTTGGAAAGAACAAAAATGGGAAATAAAAAATGTAAGTACCTTTTCATTGAAAAAAGTCATGTTCCTGCAACTACTGTTGAAGCTAATCAGCTTTGGTAGACGTTGTAACTTCAAGGATTGCAGGGTAATTAATTCCACAGTATGTCCTTCACGTTTTTCAGCACTATTCCCACTCTCTTGCTCTTTGTCATCAATAATCTCTTCCATGTCACTGCAGTGTTTCACTCTAATTTCTTGTAGTTGCTGAAGCTGTCTGGCTATAGAGGAGGAGAACAAATTCTTCAACTTGTTACAACATTCAATAGTTATCAACCTCAATTTTCTAAAAGAAGCTGCTTCTAGCGGGCCATGACATATCTTCTCCATATTTTCCAAATTGCGAAGAACTAATACCTCCAATACAGGAAATGCAGGCTTCACTGAGCTGATATGTTGAATCTCCAAAGCATCTCGGACAAAGAGATACTTCAATTCTTGGAAACCATCGTTATCTAACTCATTGACTACATTTTTAACACCAATCAATCCTTCTAGATGTAGTTCATTTGTCTTCTTTAGCAACTTCCTAACTGAGTGGTGAGAACTAATTCTTGCATCTGGCTTTAGCTTCAATAATTTTGAAACTCCCCCAGAACTATTCCAGTTGTTCCACCTATCTCCCAAGAAAACTTTGAATCTTGGCAAATTTTCAGAGAACAAGCCTTCCGGAATCCTCTGAATATTGCAAATAACATGTAGCTCTATAGAAGTCAACAACATTAAAGTCTGCAACTCTGCTAGGCTAGCATTTTGATTTTCATGCTCCTCAATTCCCTCCGCCCATTGAACAAAGCTGTTTCTCATATATAGTTCTTCTAATCCTGACAAACTTGACAAGACACCTGGTGGAATTACTTTGAGTTTGGTACAATCACTCAAATCTAACAACTTCAGATTGGCTAGCTGCCCCATTTGCTCTGGCAACTCTTTGATATCAGATCCTACAAGACTGAGGACTTGCAAATTCTCTAGTTCTCCAATCATTGTGCCTATATTTGCTGCTCCTAACACAACTTGATCCAGACACAAGGTACAAAGGCTTTTTGGGAGGGAAATTGATGAGGAAGGGATTGACAAGAACTTCATGTTCAACAAACTCAAGACTTTGAGTCCTTCCTTATCCCTAAACAAGTTTGGTGGACTTGCTAGGGAAGGACTCTCTTCAGACAAATGAAAGAAAGTAAGTTTTGGACATTTCAACTTATTTGGAACCTGACTGGCGTCCCCATTTGATAAATAAATCCATTTGATGCTCTCCATCGCCTCCATGTGTGACCGGTTGATTGGTGCGTTTTCTGTTAAAGCCAACACGCCAAACTCCTTAGAAACAGTCGATATGGCAAAATCTCGAACAAGATCGTGCATATGGAAGAACAAACCGCTACCATTATCCAGCAACAAGGAAGAATCTCTGAGTTTAGTCACCAAATTTAGCACTTCAGCTCGTGCTTCCTCTATAGATTTGACTCCTGGGAATAAGCCCAAGCCTATACCATATTTCAACAAGTTTTGAATGGTTGCATTCTGACCCAGTAGACTGAAAAGCAAGAAAATTTGTTGGAGTTCCTTACTTTTCAAACCACTGTAATGCAACTCGATAGCTGAATACAGGCTTTGTGGTATCTGACTTGAATTCGGCAGATCAGAGGGCTGGCTTTGTAGCTTTCGTAAAGTTGTCTTCCACTCAATCAGATTCCTTCTTCTCAAGCCATTTGCGAGTGTTGCAACAGCAATGGGCAATTCCTCACACCTCCTAGTAATCTGGTTTGCATAAAACGGCAAACCACGATTTTTATCTGGATCATCAGCTAACTTCTTAAATAGTTTCCATGCGTCTTCCCAAGCTAATCTGCCAACTTCAATTTGTGTTTCCAATAGATGAGGTTCAACACCTCCATCTGTAGAGGCCAGCAAAATTTTGAAAGAGTAGTACTTTTCCCAGCTTGAGAGCATTCCAAGGAAGTCACTTAATGGGAAGTAGTCCCATGGGTCGTTAAAAATCAAAAGGACGTTCTTTTCTATCAGCCTTGCCTCGTTTGAATTAGAAGGTTCCAGAGATGTGAGTTCACTGGAAAAAAAATCGTGACCCAAGCCAAACTCAATTTCACGTACAATTCTTCCGTAGCCTGGATTCCTACTCACAGTTGCCATAACAATCGCATCAAACAACCTCTCTTGCTCAGCTCTTCTTTTAACTTCTCTAATCAACATTGTCTTCCCCATGCCAGGCTTCCCGTACACTCCTATCTTGTTGATGACTGGACTTCGTAGTGCCTCCATGATGTCCTTCAAAACATCGCTTCTCGATCCAAAGTTCTCAAAACGATCAGCAGCCACTTTCTCTTGTCGATAGGAAAGTGGGATATCGGAGAATCCGCGAGCTTTTTGAACATGTGCAGCAATATCCTTGCATATCTTCTCCGCCTTCTTTCTAAGTTGGAAAGGAGACTTCCCACGTTTCCCAACAGCTTCTACCAAATGGTGTGCTGTTTGAATGGGCTCTAATGTGTTCTTCAACCAATTCTCAAGCGCCTCAGTTCTGCTGTTGGGAAAATCTTCAGTATAGCGCTGCACACTCTCTTTCTCATCCTCCAAGTCAGCAATTTGTTTCCTCAGCATCTTGATGACATTGGACTGGTCCTTGTGCACAAACATGTTGTGATTTGTGGTGAAATATTGATCAACAATTGGACAAATGAACAAAGGATGCTGCTGCTCTGTTCTTTCTAATTCTCTCTGTTTTTTTTTTCTTTTTTTAAAGGTTTTGAGAAATATATAGATGATAAAACAAAGTTACAGAGAATACAAGTGGATTGACAAGGATTAAAAGCTAAACAATCAATGGATAATGCAGCGCAGTTTAGTTTGAGAGAATATGGAAGTATGAATTTAAGGAAGACTGAAGGGAATGACAAATTAACCAAAGAGGAAGCTGGATTTGGGAACAGACAAATGAAAGGGGTGAAATAACACAAATGAGCAGAAAAGCAGACTTTGTGGAAACCGAAGGACAAGAGGCAGTGCTTTAATTAATTCTGGCTCAACCTTTTATGTCTGCTGGCCTGTGTCTGAATAGCTTGCCAGAGGATTTTCTTTTAGAGCAGTGCTAGGGGCACTCGCTTTCTGCACTCTCCGGCCAACACTTCCCCTTTCATTGGGCCACGTAAGCTTCTTTAAAACTTTCAGCGCAATCTCTCGGGAACCAAATAACGTGGCCCAATAAAGGAAAAAGTGTTGGCTGGAGAGTGCAGAAAGCGAGTGCCCCTAGCATTTCTCTTTCTTTTATTCAATGACCGAACTTTTAAATCAGCCCCTCAACTTATCACATTATGGATAATCAGCCCTTTAACTTCTTTTCTGCAGGCCAATCCACTCTACTAATTGATTTGGGTTAATTACCCCTTCTTTAATTGTTAATATAAGAAAACACCAGTTGGTTAGATGTTCCACTAGTGTAGTTAAAGCATCTCCAATGGGATACTCTATAACATATCGCTAAGTGTCACATTATTACAATTTATATTATTTTATTTTATTTATATTTAAATAATATAATTTTTAATTAAATAATTATTAATTTTTAAATCAATTTAAAATTAAAATACTATTTGATGTAATGGAATTTTTCCTTAATATTTAGAAGGATCATGTTAGATAAACTATTTTATCAAAATATGTTATATTTAGAGGAGAGTTAGTAGAATTCCATTTACTATACTTGAATACAACGTTATTTCTCATTGTATTTTTGTGTAAATGATGGATGAGAAAATATTTTCATAGTTGAGTTTCATATTTCTCAAACTATTTCAATATTTTTCTGTTCTTCATTTCATCACATTTCTTTTTATTTTTTGTTCAATATCCGTTTTTCAACAAAGAATTATATAACTTGAGACCTTAGAACATGAGTTAAAGATATATTAAATTTCATTTTTTTTCATTAATTTTTATAAATAAATATAAAAACTAATTTTATTTTCAATACTAATAATACATACGTGATTTTAACTAGATAATTAATAAAATTAAAATCACTTAGCTTCTTATATTTTTTATAACAATAATAAAAAATATACAATTAATTATGTATTATTAACCTCTCCTTTTAGAAACAAATTAAAAAAAAAAAACACTTCAACAAATGCTACTAGATCAGAAAAAATTTGGGGACGTGAAAGAAAATTTGGACAAGGGAGGGAAGAAGTAACCGTTCCAGTACTGAAATTTTAATTACTAGTGAAAATTGGTACCTCGAAGCTAGACTCATGGGGCAAAGATGTGATATCATTTGTAGAAACTAAAACAACTAAAATTTTATTGAATTTCAACAGTAGGTACAATATACACTGATTACATAAGTCCATCATTAGCAACAAGTAGTCGTACTAAGAAATATAAAACTACCCTGAAAGCAGTTTTCATCAAATTCATTATGTAGCATCAGTAATGGCTTGAAAAGTGAGTCCCAAGTCCCAAGTGATTTATGAGCAACCAAACGAATGTGAGAAGTTCACCGCCCTTACTAGGTTGCTGTGCATGGACGTGTGGCCTGCAATTCATAGCAGCAAAGCACATTAAATGTACCCAAACTTTGCTCATTTGCTCCCAAGGAGTACTGTTAGATTTCTTCAGTTGCTTAGCAAGCTCAGATGCAGCAAATAACACCGATCTATTTATATCCCTTTCTGGATTTCTGAAATTTGGGATCAGTTGAAGGATTTTTTTTCGAGCATCCTCATCGTTTGAGATTGAGCTCCTTCTTACATATAACGCGGTCTCTGCCAATGTTTCTTCGAACACCTTTTTCCAACTCACTGAAACAGCTGCCATAATAGCTGGCTGCATTACTAGTGGGTAAAACATATAATCTGAGAGCAGCTTGCAAAATTTTCTGTGACTTATACACCCATTCCCTGATGTAAACGTTTGGTCTACTCCGTGGAAGCATAATTCAGTGGCTATATGCCATGTTAGTACACTTTTCGTGTAATCTAACTCTTCCACAATCTTAATGAGTTCATTAGAATTGGCAAAACCTTGAAGAACTCTTTCACGACTATATAACCAAACTTGCTTGGTGTCAAGCACAGTCTGAGACGGGGCTGTCATTTTACTATTCAAAAACTCATTTAATTCTTTCACTTCCTTAAAAATGAAGCGCCATTCTGGGTCGTCTTCTTTGAAGTCTTTGGAAGATAGGCATCGGATTCCTTTTATGTCTTCCAACAAACCCCTTATGCGAAGAAAATCAGCAACTTCTTTCAATAGACTTGGATAATCATTAACATAACAAGTAATAAAATTCAACTGAGAAACTGCTCTAGACCACCTGCGCTTCTTGAAGAATCTCGACTTCGTACTCTGGATGTGAGCAGCCAAAATCCAATCGGAGGAGATGAGTAATACAATAGATATGATATCCAACACAAAGGCCCAGATTAGTGTTGACAAAGAGAGGAAAAATAGCAGAAAACTTTCTCACGCACAAAAGCTATCTTGTTTCTTTTTTTTTTTTTTCATTCATCTTTTCACTTACAAAAGTTAGTGATGTACACCGGTTGTCCATATTCTAGAGTATTCTTTTGTTTGCAATATTTTAATTTACCATACATACAAAAATCAAGACACACAACTAACGTGGCTTTCTCTCCATCATATATTCTTGTGTGGCTTCAATTTACTTTATAGTAAAATATATGCTTCTAGAAGACTTTTACTTCTTCACCTTTTAGCTTAAGTCGGTGATGAATATTTTAACACTCCCCCTCAGCACCGACTTTGCTTCTTGGCATCATCCCCAGCAGCTTGCGAAACTTTTCAAGCTTTCCAACGTTGAGCCCTTTTGTGAATATATCTGCGGCTTGCTCATCTGTTTTTGTAGCTTGCATTTCTATCTCCTCTTGTAGTACCTTTTCTCTGATGAAGTGGTAATGAACTTCAACATGTTTTGTCCTGGCATGAAACACTGGATTTTCTGCTAACCGAATTGCTGATTGATTATCACAATACAATTTTACTGAATAATCACTTGGCTGCTT